AAGGTAAACCATCTTCTCAGAAAGCTTACCTCTTCTCTATTTCTTAACATTATCAATTCTTAATAGTTCACTGCATCAGTAATTACTTGTTTGTGGCATTATCAAATGTCCTGGATACAAAAATCCAATGTGTGGTAAGGTCAGTTATAGACATGTCCTGATGGCATATAAAGGGAGAAATTTCACCCATCAGAGTGGTCATCGAAAGTGCAAAATCTATTATGCCTTTCTCCAGACACTCCTGGTTAAATTTAAAGTGACAGGACAAACCAGATCAAAACTAAATAAAGCTAGGAGCAACATACAAAACCCTAATGAACCCTTAGAAATCCAGGTATCGATCTGTCAATATCTAAGCTCAATTAGGCCTTTCAGAACAAAATACCTCATGAGGTGACAAGAAACTAGTTTGAAGTCTTGGCTCTGAGAAGAATAAAATGAGTCACTTTCCATAGGTTACAGCTAAATACAGTCATTTCTCAATATGGAAATCTTGTGAGGATTAAATAAAGATGTAGGCCAAGTACCTATCTAATTAGTCCAGGAGCTGGCATACAACTAGTGTTCAGTAAATGTTAGCCCTCCCTCAATTCTTTAAGAACTAAAATCAGGCTGATCAAGTCAAAGATCAACTGATGGCTTAAAAAATAAAGTAACGAAAAATTTTAAATGGTCATCTAGACAACACATCTTTAAAAAAAATTAATGTTAAAAAGTAGCAAATAGGATCATGAAAATGAATAACAGATGTTGAAAATATTTCTGAATGGCTCATCATTCACGGCCATTTACAACCTTCACATTTTGTGAAATCGTCTTCCGGGATGAGCTTTGACAAGAAATAGGCCAAATGCAAACTAACTCCACTTGAGAGTAACAGCATTGCTTGTAGCAGGTGAACAGTTTCCCTGATAAAAGCTTCACCACCATATACTTCAAGCTTTCAGCAATCAGGTTCCCAAACAAACCAGTAACACAACTATAAAGCTAATTTTTTTCATTAGAATTGTTAAGAAACAAGAGTCCAATAAATCATTTACCTTTTAAGGAAAAGACATTACTTTCTAACACACATAATATTTCTTCCAGGTCTAAGGAAATGAAGCTTATTTATTCACACACTGAAAAGTAATACTATAGTGAAGTCTTTTTATGACTCGAGGATGAAATATTAAAGAAATAAAGGTATGGAAAGAACAGGACTTGGTCTAAGAAGTCTTGAGATCAAGTACTAGAGTTGCCATTTACTGTATAACTTTCAGAAAGTTACTTAACCTTTCAGGGAATCAGTTTCTTATAAGGTTCTTTTCACCTCAAAAATGATATAATTGAAATGCTGATACTCTTCAGTTATATATGTTTGTACCTTTATTAAATAACACAGACATATTTTAAGATTGTAGTAACTTAAGACCCATTATGAAACAAAGAGAGTGAGTGAGTGTGTGTGTTTTGAGTGTTCTGACCCCAAACATTATTCTCAGTAGTTAGGGCATTTACAAGCCTCGTGACACCTGAATTAACCAAGTAAGCCTTTAAACCCCTACAATGAAACATTAAAATTCAATGTGGCTATAATCTCTTCCTTACAAAACATGGACCCAAAGAGTCTGGCTTCAAGTATGGTTTAAAAAAAACAAAAAGGTGAAATGTATTATATTCACCACCCAGCTTTTCCGTATGATCACATAAAAAACAAAAAAATGCAAATGAAAACTCACAAGTCCGTTGTAATACATTGTACCACTTCTGAATGCAACACTTAGCTCAGGCTTACTACCCTGACAAATAAAGGAAAGCACTTTATGAAGCCAATTTAATTGGGAGGTGACAGAAAACATACAGCCATTTTCTTTAGCCTTATCATCGAATTGGCTTCAGCTCCAATCTCTGGCAAATCCCACTCAACAGAAGAAATTAACCAGGTCAGCAGAACAGGTGCTACGTTGTGTCTGTCAAGGGCCTGGCATCACCACAATTACTTGTACACAATGAAGCAGTAATCTTTACAGATCATCTCTCCCAAGAAGCATATTGGGAAGGGGGAGGAAAACTGAAGGGAGGAGGGGGAAAGTGGGAAGGACAGGAATAGGAGGTAAAGAGAAAAGGCAAGAAAAGAAAATGAATGTGCAGCTGCCTTGAGGCTCAGCAGATGTCGGGATGTGATGTACGAGGCTAGGATAAGCTGTCGTAGCCTGCTGCCAAACAGTGGTAAGTGATTAAAGCCTGCACAGTTCTAAGCACCATATTTAGAATCTGCGGGGTTTCAAGACTTGCACCCATTCCTTGCTGTGCTGCCAGATGTTGGCAACCGGTCCAGTTCCTACTGACTGTGCATGGATGGCAGCAGTTGGTACAGCAGCAAAGCAATCTGGAATGCTTCCGGAGATACTGTACATTAACAAGTGTCACCCATCATTCACCTTTACAGAAGGCTGAAACGACTCCAATTTGCTGCCACTTCCCTCTTGGGAAACAGCCAAGATAAAGTTGCGCCTGGCAGTCCCATTTGTTTCACTCAGGTGTTTCAGCTGCCTTGCTGACCTCTATTAGTTTAAGTTTTAATTTAGATTAACCCCAGCACCCCAATTAACCGGCAAGGGGAAAAGCTAAGATGTGACTAGTCATAACTCTGAAATCAGAATTTACCTAAGTTAAAATTATTAATTGGGATGAAGGGCCAATCAAGTAATGCTATTTCTTTTTAAACAGACCTCCAGGCCAAAAAAAAAACCTTTTTTTAAAAATCTTTCAGGCAAGGGATTGCCAGTAGAAGCAATTCTTTCCCATAATTTCAGTTTATTTTATTAAGGCTATTTAATTTATGATATACTCTCCATTGAATAATGTACACTTCAATTAATGAAGACTGAAACATTTTTGATTGTCTCCCATGATCTCATGCAACTATACACCATTAATATCCTATATCAGGTATTTCCTTAGACTTTCTAGAACAAAGTAGAGTTCCCTATTCTTCTGACAAATGGATATAATAAGAGAAGAAAAGGGAAAAGGAATCAGGACCTCTGACTAAGAACACTTGGGGCTCCACCAATCCTCTTTCCTCTCATTACTTTTAAGACTCACTATGGTAATAATTTTATTGAACACCACAGAGTGAATAGGAAGATTAATAGAAAGTTTCTTTCTCGTTTTAGGACAAAACCAGAGGTATCTGCAATAAAGAATCACTTGTTCTACTGGGTTCACAGTGTAATTTTCCTAAGTTCCTTCCTTCATATTCCATGTACATAATACAGTCATCATGGTTAAACCTTCAACAAGCTGTTGCAAAATCTTTGCAAAAGTTAACACACTAAAAATTTAGCAGAGAAAAAAAATTATCTTGATAAATAATGGTTCAACAAAAACTGATATATCACTGCTGAGCAACCTCCTCAATTCTCTAGAGCTAGAAAGTATACATCCTAAAGCACATTTCATTAAGAAATATGACTTATCAAGAGACCCAGGATTATAGGAAATTATCTTAGTTCTTTAGAATAGTTCAAATGTTTAGTCTACCTCAGCATTCACTAACATCATTAAAAAGAGCATCATCCTAAGAGGTATGATGTCAGGGAAAGAACTGGGGGATGTTTGTGAAGAGATAGTATTGACAATGGAACCACATTTCAACTTCTACCAATTCTTTCTGTCTGCAAAGCACTACAATCTATATATCTATATATATAAAAGCCTAAGTGACCGTTATGACCAAACGACTGAAATGACCAGTTGACCAATTGCTATGATGCGCACGGACCACCAGGGGGCAAATGCTCAACACAGGAGCTTCCCCCTGATGGTCAGTACACTCCCACAGCCAACCTCCAGTGTCCGGCCAACGTCCCCCGGTCCCTCCCCCTGGCCAGCCATCCCAGATCCGCCCTGATCGGGACTACCGGCCAACCTCCCGCAATCCCTCCCCCTGGCCAGTCCCTCCCCTCAGCCAGCCAGCCAACCTCCTGTGGTCCCTGCCCGTCCCTCGCCCCCAGCCAGCAGGCCCCAATTGGCCTAGCTCCATGGTTGGCAAACTCCGGCTCGCGAGCCACATGCGGCTCTTTGGCCCCTTGAGTGTGGCTCTTCCACAAAATACCACATGCGGGCGCAAGTACAGTGCGATTGAAACTTCATGGCCCATGCGCAGAAGTCGGTTTTCAGCCTGGGCAAGTCTATTTTGAAGAAGTACTGTTGATATTTGGCTCTGTTGACTAATGAGTTTGCCGACCACTGGCCTAGCTGATCGGGATTGGGTGAGATGGCCCCAATCGGCCCTGATAGCTGGCCAGGCCTAGGGACCCCACCTGTACACAAAATTGTGCACTGAGCCTCTAGTATTATTATAATCAACAGTAGCAATCTCAATACATACTTAACTGATTTGAACAGGCACAAAAATAAAGACAAGAGACTTAATAAGTAATAGAACCAGAAGTACAATTAAAGAATTCTGAGATCCCAGCCCTTTAGCTCCATATTCTGATATAATAGTAATTAGAGGTCCGTTGCACAAAAATTCGTGCAAGAGTAGGCCTTCCTTCCCCCGGCTGCCGGCACCAGCTTCCCTCCGGCACCCGGGACCCGGGCTTCCCACCGGCCCTGGCTTCATCCAGAAGGACATCCGGTCTAATTAGCATATTACCCTTTTATTATTATTGATAGGACAAAAACCAAATAACAAAAAATCCTCCATTAACATTATCAAAAACGGTTAAGAAAGAATAGACCTGACTCAAAGTTGAAACTGTTTTACAGATAATTCACAATGTGTAACAACTAACCAAGTAGCTGTAGCTACCTTCATTTCAAAAAGAAAAATATAAGACAAAAGAAAAGCAACAGATCCAGAACTACACAGTAAGTTAATTCTGAACACAGAAGTTTTAACTCCCTGTGTGACTCTATCCCCAAACCTTTTGGTCAGAGAAGTCTACCAGCTGTTTTAAAATGCTAAAACTTATTTGTAACAAAAGAAAAGAGTGTAAAAATCATACCTGGTGATAAAAGTCATCATCATCAAAGATTTCTTCATCCAAATCCTTCAGGTGGGCATTGGCAGGAGCTTGAGGAAGAATCTCCTATATCAATAAGAAGATAACCATTAGGTTATCAAAGTAATGTAGTACTATAAACATTCAAAGCACTGTTTTCCTTAAGATATAAAGAGCTCTTAAAATTAAAGAACAAAAACAATCCAATTAAAAAATGGGCAAAAACATAAACAGGAACTTGACAGAATAAGAACCACAAATAGTGAAAAATCATTTGAAAATGTTTAACTTCATTCTAATTAAATATATGCAAATTTACATGAAAAGACACCATTGTTCACCTCTAAAACTGGCAACACTCAGTACTGGAAAACACAGCTGGTAGGATTGGAAATTACTACAGCCTTTTTTGGAGGCAATTCGGCAGCATTCATAGGGATTTAAAATGCATATTCTCTTTAATATTTCTACCTCGAGAAATCTATCCATATGTTCACACAAATACAAAAATATAAATGCTCAGGAATGTTTACTATAGCACTATTTTTAAAACTGGAGATAACAAAAATATCCATTGTTTGAATAAATTATAGTACACATCCATACAATAGAATACTCTAGCCATTAGGAAAAATGAGGTAGGTCTCTATCTAATGATATGGAAAAATATCTGGGATATATTAAATTTAAAAAGTTGTAAGATTTTATAAATACTTTATAACATTTTATGTATTTATATACACATACATATCGATATCATTTAGTTTAAAAGAAAAGGCAACCACATTTTATATATGTATATTTATGTATGTTGCTGTGTATATATCTTTCTGTGTCAGCAGAGAAATATATATATATGAATTGAAAATAACCCGAAAGCATGTTACAATATGAACACTGGTTAAATCTGAGGAGTAAAATTTTCAGACTAGGAGGAATTTTATTTTTCATTTAAAATTCTTCTGAACTTAAGAAAGTATTAAATATATATTTCTACTATAAATAAAAGAGTTTCCTTTCAACAAAAGAATGTGACTATTCCAATTTTGGATCCATTTCTGGAGTATCCAAACATCCAACATAAAGCCTAAAGAACACACTTGCTTCAATACTGACATTTCTAAAGAAACTGCTTTAAAAATGAATTTTAAAGTTTGGATTACAAATGCTTCCATTACCAGACTCACATCAACTTCAAAATTAAGATAAGACTACACACAAGTTAAGAATAGCCCCATACTTTAAAAACATTTAAAAATCATTTGAAAAAAACAAACAAACCACATTTCTTAACAATCTAGTAGTGTTTCCCCCACTTTCTTTCATTAATTTTTCATATCAAGAGTAATACCTACAAGGAGGTGATCAGATTTTTCAGTTAATTAACCTCACAGAAACTGCTCCCCATAATCATCCTGCACGCATCACAGAGTTCTTACCGGTTGCCCTGGCAAACTCTCTGGGACAGGCTGCGCTGCTGGCTCGGGTTTGCCAAGAACTTGGTAGATAGAACGCTTGGTCTGTGTCCTTCGAAGTAATCTTTCTTTGTCCATTAGAATATGATCAATCTGAGTCAAGATTGAGCATTCAAAGGCACCAAAACCCTGCAACAACATTAACCAGTGTCAGATAATGCAGAAAGTCTGTGCTGAAGGCAGCTACATTGGTTTCTCTATCTTTCTGTGACGGCAGAGAAATAGACAAACCTTCTTTCCAGAGAGACTTTCTGTTAAAGACTGAGTTTGTGAATGGCTGTAATTGTTCTCAGAAAAAAAAAGTGGTTAATAGATTATATTACTTTCCTATACCCAGAGTTTAACTTCTGCTCCTTTAATAATAATTGTTTAACATCTGTTCTTTTAATAATTATTGTTTAACATCAACTTCTTTATTTGTATTTCCAACACTTGAACACTTACAAGGCCACAATTTCTAGAAAAAATATTCTTTCTTATAAAGTTAAAATCACAAGTCTGAATGGTATAAACCCCAATGGTAGGAGTTCAGTAAATTTTTTTCTACAGAAATGACTGATTACCATAGTGACATCATCCATACAAACAAGCTGTAGTTCCAATTTCTTAGAACTGCTTCAGGTTGCCACAGCATGTTACTCACACATGCGCGCGCACACACACACACACACTTGCCTTCCCCAGTTTTCCAGAAGCCAGTTTGGTTTTGTCGTGCCACTTCTGAAGTGTGCGGTTCCTGTAAACTGTGAAGTCAGCAAAACGCTTTGCCATAAAGCCAGGATAGTCATCCATCTCCAGCTTCCTCTTTGGTGGGGCCCTTTTCTGCTTCTTCTTCTCTCCTACCAGCTCTTCATCTTCACTTGAAATCTCCTCCTCACTAGAAAACCAGGAAGAATAATGAGTCCAATAGAAATAAACATTACCCACATAAAAAGCTAAACTTGCATGAAGTTGAGAGTATTTAGGCCTTCCCTATTTTGTCTACATGTTACATAGCACCACAGATGTGAGAATGGATTTTCTTTTGTTTGAAAAGAATATTCATGAGGTCAATCAAAACCTCATTTAACTTTTCAAATAAATATAACTGATTTCAAAATATTTCTTAAAAGGTAAGCAAATCATCATTTAACTTTTCAAATAAAAACTGATTTCAAAATATTTCTTAAAAGGTAAGCAAATCATAAAATTACATGAGATTGCAAAAACATTATTAGAAATGCATAGGAACCAAGCCTATACTGGTTACAAGAAGGTCTTTAAAATTTAAACATATAATCATACTTTTATGACCTTAATCCCCAAATCAATAAAAACAAATGCCTCCCTATAACCAATTGTTCAGGACAACTAAATAATATTAGTTGAACCAGATGAAGAGAAGATGAATGTGAAGAAAACTCAAAGGGGTAGGTAACAGAACTCAAAGGGGTAGGTATTAAGCCCCAATATTATATGCAACTGCCATGAGAAAGTAATACAACTTCCAATTATATAGCCAATTGCATTCACTGGATTACAGACCCCAACATACAGTAGGTACTCAATAAATGTGAGTTTACTACTTATCCCTCCAATTCCATAGAAAAGAATGAAGCAAAGGATAAGCAAAAGAGAAAGCAGTAAGCAGGTACCATACACAGCAGGCTCAAACAAAGAGGCAGGGAGATGCTTCACTGAATGTGATAATTTCAATAAAGGGGTTTAGTCTACTGTTTCCTGAAATTTTCCACCCTTCAAAATAACTTCTTCCCTCATTGAAAAGAAGATGGTTGTGACCAGAGATTCCATGATATGGGCACAAAGTGCTTCATAAACATTAATTAAGCATTGACATTAAAATGTGCTTTAATCTACTAATTTCAATAGCTCTAAAGAGAAGACAAGTCTTTTGCTGAAGTCACAAAGAGAATGAGGCACAACTAAGTATTAAAATTCAAAACTTAATTCCCAATTTTTGTGCTATCCTGGCCAAAAGAGCAGGTAAATATAAGTGGCTCTATTTTACTAACATTTAAGTCTGATATCTGCATGGAAAGGATTTAGCTTTCTTTTTCTTAAATGATGGGAAACTATTCAGACGAAAAGAAAATGAGCAACTCCACAGTTGCATTCCTCCTTACCTTTCTGCTTTGGGCTTTGTCCCATCTACTAGGTACCTGGTGTCCGGGTACTGGAAGAGCAGCTCTTCCTGAAGATCTACCAATGACCTCAACAGTGCTTTAAGTGCCTTGTGGCCTGGGAAACAAAGCACAGAGAAGGAACAATTGTCATGGTTCCTGAGCAGTTCTGGCTCAGGGTAAGAGTTGGGGCAGGGACTAAGAACAACAACCCGAAGAGGAAGGCATTATTAGTACTTCCTTTTGCGAATTCTGTTTTTCAAATATATGTTCTTAACCTGGCTTTCCTCATAGCCAACAGGATGCATATGTAAAAAAGCTCATCAGGATTCAGTATATAGTCTATGGCTAAGCACTTCAGAATAAAAACTGGCTCTCTGAGAACTGAACTCTTACCTTCTTTACCAGCCTAATCCTACTAAAGAGGCTAATGACACTGGTCATCACTATTTATGTGTTGATAGCACTCAGACATCTCTCCTAAGCTCAAACTTTCACATTTCCAGCAACTCCAAGAAAATCTTCACATGGGTGCCCCATCACTCCTTCATATATACCATTTCAGAAACAGAATCTTTTTCTTCCTAATACTTCTTCCTTGTCTGATTTTTTTCTTCTCTGTTTAACGTGTTTTCATAGGTCACTGACATTTTGGTGCCCTTATTCTATACATTTAATTGATTACATTGTGTATTTTTCACACTAATAGTTATCTCTGGCCATGCTTCTATTGCTCCTTCCCTTTTCCCCTTAAATAACTGCAGTCTTCTCACAAGCAACCCTACTTTCATTTAGCAATCCCTACATTCATTTTTGTTTTACAATCCACACTAACTTCAGCTTAAGTGATTTTTGTAAGTCTTGTTCTATCATTTCTGCTTCTACCCAACCCAGCATGAATAGCCTCCTCACTATTTACATCCCAACTTGTTTCATCAATGGTACACCAACACCTGATTTAAACAAACTAACCTTGCTGAGACACTCTTCTCAGATTGGTCAGAAAGAAATCAACCCAATAGCTATGTTGTATTCCTTCAAATACTCTGCTAAAAAGCTAACCTTGCTGAGACACCCTTCTCAGATTGGTCAGAAAGAAATCAATAACCCAATAGCTATGTTGTATTCCTTCAAATACTCTGCATATAAGACTACATAAATACTTCCTTGTTTAAAATAAGACGCTTGATCACAGTTTTTCTAAATTCTGTATTCTAATCCTTTTATAATCAGTGTATATTCATACCACTTGGGAACATCTGCAGTATATATTACCCGAAAAGTCCAAAATGCCTTGTGTTCCAAACCAAAATTCCCAATCTGTTGCTCTGACTTTTAAAAAACAAAATAACAAAAATTTTCACCAAATATGGAGACAACTTATACTCATGAAGAAGAAAAAAGTAATACAGCATTATCCTTTATTCTGTCGGCTTTCAGGAAATGGATTAAGTATAAACAAGATGATAACACAGGCCAGAAGGAAAAATAGAACAAAGATATAACAACTTTAAAGCCTAAAATCAGTCAGTCTAAATGTGCTAAGTGTATAAGTAGAACAACACAAATTATGTAAATATATATGGGAAATTTTAAAAGAAATGAGTAGAACAAAGAATACAAATGATAACTACAAATATTAGGTTACCACAAATGGTCATCTGTGAAAAGACTCGAGAACTGATAAGAGATATCCCAAGTAGCTAAGGTTCTAGAGTATATATTGTAGCAAGAAGATTAAGAAAATAGAAAAGACACTTATACTTGGAAGGAAGCCCATGAAAACGGAGAATTGTCATCTCATCCAAATTCTATGTATTAACCACTATTTTATAACTTCTTTTCTAGAAATGTCTGTATCTTAAGAGACAGGGCCCATATTTTCCAAAGTGAAACCACAAATCAATCTTACATCTGCACACTAGTTTCTAAAATTCCCAAGACTTAACTTTGAAAATATTATGCTAAGTGAAATAAGCCAGTGATAAAAGGGCATATACTGTATGATTCCACTTACATGAGATACCTAAAACAGTCACATTCATAGAAAGTAGAATGGTGGTTGCCAGGGGTTGAAGGGGAGGGGGAATGTAGACTTACTGTTTAATGAATACAGTTTCAGTTTGAGATTATGAAGAAGTTCTAGAGATAGATATTGGTGATGGTTGAATAACAATGTGAATGTACATAATGGTACTGAACTGTATACTGAAAAATGGTTAAAATGGTAAATTTTATGTCATGTATATTTTACCACAATTAAATAAACACTTTAAAAAATCCCAAACCAGAGTATAATAAATAATTCTACCATCCTAGACAAAATAATCTACAATCCCTCAATCTTGAAGTCAGTCAAAAAGAACGGGGGGGTGGGGGGGGAGAAGGAATATTATTCAGCCTTTAAAAAGAAGGAAATTCTGACACATGCTACAATATGGATGAACCTTGAGGACACTATGCTAAATGAAATAAGACAGTCACAAAACAACAAATACTATATCATTCCATTTAAATAAGGTACCTAGCGTAGTCAAATTCATACAAACAGAAAACTGAAGGGTAGTTTCCAGGGGTTGGGGCAGAGGGAAATAGTGAGTTGTTGTTTTAATGAAGTGTAAAGATTTTTAGCTTTGCAAGATGAAAAGGTTCTAGAAACTGGTTGTACAACAATGTGAATATACTTAACACTACTGAACTGTACACTTAGAAATGATTAGTAAGGTAAATTTTATTATGCGTTTTTTTACCACAATAAAAAATTTAAAAGAACAAAAAAGGCAAGTGCCTGTCCCTTACTTCCACTAGGTACCATGTGTCATGTTCTAAAATATGAAATCAAGAACCATGCAGGGAAGAAGCTGCAGAGCAGTCCATAATGTTTATAGCTGCTTGCCCCCAACAAGCAAGTCATAATTTGACTCTTACATGTAACATAACCAAGAATTGTGAAAACATCCAATGAAAGCCTAGTACTTTAAGGGCCACTCTCAAATAGCTATACAAGCCCTTTTATTTTGTTCAAGTCAGTTTTTAAAAATCCACTGCAGATATATTAGACAGCCTATCAATCCAACAAGAAAGCAGAGAGCCAATATCAGTAAATCAAAGTGTGCCTTTCTGTTAATACTTTCTCATATGTTCTCATTTTATACACCCCTTCACTCAGTCAGAAAGTAGCCCTGAAGTATTTAAGCTCCATTCAGGGATAGCACCACCATGCATCAAAGTGTCAGGAGACCTACCAGAGATGAAATCTGCAATTCTGTGTTTCTAACCACACCAAAAAAAAAAAAAAAAAGTTTATCAAAGTAAAGTCACTAGTGGCCAACACATGGACAACGGACAACTTCCTATAAAGAGATTTAGAAGAAAGAACCCAATCCTCATTTCTTTGCAATATAAGAGCCACATTTCCTCCTAACAAGATTTTATGTAAAACCTGAGGAGACAAGGAGCAATCCTTTGCTGGACGTGGTAGGCCTCCTCAAAGCCACAACTGACAAGAGTGAGGAAAGACTCTCTCTGGGAGGCTCAAATCTAACAGTGAATTCTTCCCAGACAAAACCAAAACAAACCCTCTTTATCATTCATATGGGGCTGACTTCTGTTTGTTCAACCCTATAAATTATAAAGAGAATGGAATCAACAGTTTCTAATTCACTTCTAATTTTTCACCCATTACTGTTATAGTTAAGTTTTTAAAAGCAGCAAAGATGCATATACTTTCTTCACTCTCCTTCTTGGCAAGTGGTTACAAAAAAACAAACAACAAAAACAACAACAGAGATTGTCAAAGATATATGTTTATTTTGTCCTATATGGTCAATTTCCAGAAGAGAGCAAGAAGGACATATGCCTCACCGTGTTACCAAGATTCAACCTAAGCATCTAGGCACCAGCTTTAGGAATAATTTTCCAAGTAGATAATAAATAGAAAGAGTGCTTTACTAAGGGTCAGGAATCCCACATTCTAACCGACACTATCACTAACTAGTCATTTTATATACTGAGTGGACCAGTGTAATCTCTTTTAGTCTCAATTTTCTCATCTATAAAACACAGATAATCCTTTGCCTGTTTATCTCACAGAATGAAAATAAAAAATAACAAATTTTTTTTATATATTAAGGTATTTAAAAATTTTTAATGTTATAAAAATGGAAAGAATATTACCATAAAAATCATCATTTCACATGGTGAAAATTCTTAAGCTCTGCTTGTACTGATCTACAGCACTAGGGCTGAGCTAGTACTCACAGTCCTATATGAAGTATTCATTTGCATGCTACCCATATACAAGCATTCTATATAGAAAATGTCACCAATCTAAAAACCATTTTCACCTAACAGCTTTATTTTTCCCCCTGATTCATCTAGGCTGTCCAACAAAAACAAAATTGTAGGCAGAGAATAAGTTTGGACATGGGTGCACAGTTCATTTATTAGATTATAACCCAATACATAAAACTTTGGTAAGGGGGTGGAGGTGGAATGGGAAGAATGAATATATAAAGTAAAATAAAGCTTACCTTATCAGTTTTTAAATATCTATACCGTTATTTTTAAAATAATATGCAAACATACAATTATTTGTGTACAATAAACTGCCACATTCCTATTACCCCCAAATAAACATATTGAACTAGAACGTACATATTACAAGGGCATTTTTTTTTCTCCCTCAAAAGTAACTCTAGAACTAGAGCTAAACTATAGGTCAAAATGACACACAATATATTGGCCTGAGAACAATACTTTTCATTCAAATCCACACAAGCCTGCCACTTGCACTAGTCATCCCCGGCAATTAATCCCCCAAGAAAGACGTTTGATTAAATCTTTTCAAGCAAATCCTTTGCTTTGCTTTTGTTAGTTCACTTCTTGTCAACATCTATTAAAATATGCCTTTAATTCTCCCACAATCTTAAAAAACACTGATTCCACTGTCTTCAACTTTAATCAACTGTATGGCCGGCATTTTTCATTTCATAATAATGTGCTGCTTGGAATTCAAGAGGCAGGCTCAGCATCAATCATCTGGTAAGAATTTTTCCACTGCAATAAATATGCAAATGAGGAGAGCCAGTCAGTCGTATTTCAGGCCCGACTTGCTAG